ACGAGTAACGCAAGCGTTACTGCGTTACTAGAAAAGTAACGCAAAAAAGCGTTAAAGTAACGCAAGTAACGCTGCGTTACTCGTTACAAAAGCTATGAAAAATAAACGCATCTCGTTAGTAGTTACTAGTAACGCAATAACGCATGCGTTACTCGTTCCCAGTAACGCAACAACGCTTGCGTTACTCGTTACCAGTAACGCAATAACGCTTGCGTTACTCGTTACTAGTAACGCAATAACGCTTGCGTTACTGCGTTACCTGTAAAGAAACGGTAAAGCGCCACCCCTAATTCGTCTACCTTTCTTTTTCATTTTTCTCGTCGACCGCAGCAGCTAGAACAAATTTCATTGTTCTCTTCTACGCGATTAATTCCTAAACATTACCACAATAGCTGTTATCAACGGTTATCGGCTAAATATCATTAATACATAAATTGGCATACATTTATCAGAATATATCAATAAAACACAAACTTCAAACCAATCACCGGATAATAGCACTCAAACAGCAGAAAGAATAAAATATGCTTATGTGGAAGTCCCACATATTGGTCAACCCAGTTATACATTAATTGATAAATTACGTACATTCACAAAACAACATGATCCACGGAAAACCCTACATGTGTCCTAAGATCGGCACATCAAAAATACTTATCAAATAAAAGGTCCTATATCACTTGAATTCCAGTCTGATGTAGTCTGAAATTTACAATGTAAAAATTATTCAGATAATTAGATTGAAAAAATCATACGATAAACTATTAGACGGTTCAAAGAGCATGGTGCACCAACTAACATACCGTCATCACATCAGCCAACCTCACCCTTACTGCCATCCACCACATCTAGTAATAATAATAATATTTTCATTCAAAATACAGCATTAAAAAATAAACTACTCGATATAATCGATGATCCAGAAATAATACACTTAGCCACACACGATATTGGCATTAAAATAAATTCAATATCACCAACAACAAAGTCATCAGAAACAAATCCACCACCATCAATACCTAAATCATATTTCAATCAAAAACTCAAAACAGTCATAGCCAGATATCAACATGAAAATCATCACACAATAGACTGGATTAATTGGAAAAGACTATTCACTGAAAGTAATCGTTATCGATTATCGATTACTACTAAAAGAATCTTTAGCTATAAAACAATTAGACCCTAAACAAAATCTAAATATTCGAACCGTCCCTTTACTCATTTATTCAGAAGGTATTCCGAAAAAGTAACGGAACAAAATGAACAAAATGAGATGTCTTCGGGTTCTCTGTAACACTTTTGGCCCGAAGACGTCTCATCTTGTTCAGAAATGTTGCTCTATACAAAGTTATTTACTTACTTACGAAGTACATATTCTATTACGAAGTTATTTGCAAAGAATTTCTAGTCTAACGAGGGGACTTGGTTTTCTAGAAACCTTGGTTCCAGAAGTCTCGATGGAATCGTTATATATCTCATTCGATTGGAAATTCTTTCAGCTGTACAAATCTTTTTTCAAATTTGTTCTAGCTGCTATGATCGACGAGAAAAATGAAAAAGAAAGGTGGACGAATAATATTTTGGACCCGCTGTATGCTGAACTTTTTCATTCTTGTGAAATCCTTGTGATCAAACATAATACATCACGAATAAATACATCAGTTTGTAGAGAAATAGCTTTAAAACAAGCTACTTTAGAAAAATCGGTTTTCTCGTTTTTTCGAAAAAGTTAGCCGGAATGATCACAGATCGTATTTTTCTCTAGTCATGCGTGTTATGTTGAACTAAACGGCCTTTCCAAATCAGTGCAAATATTGTGAATAGATAGACAAAAAGTGGGCCATAACATATGGCCACATGTGATCTTCTTATGTCTTCATGACATAACACGGTTGTTTTACAAAAATTTTTAGAAACAAGAATCAGAAGTAATGGTACACTGTCTTTGAGTACACAACTGTCTTAAACTTCTTTTCGCTGTACTGCAGTAAATTTCGGGATCCATCCGGGTTCAATTTTTTTGCCAGAATACTCAAATGCTACTGAATCTGTACTATTCGAGAGAACATTGGGATTGATGCTCCCATTGTGATTTAGATCATAGTTTCTTACAGTTGTTTGCACCTTGGTAAACATATTAGTTTCTTTCAGATTCCGAAACTGATGATGTGAATTAAAAACAATTACAGGCATTATAAATCGACGTGCTTTTCTAGAACTATTTGGATGTAATCCGACAATAAAAAAAGATCTTCTACCTAAACTAAAGCCAAAATCAGCATCCATTGAATCATTTGCATAATCTTTATCCCATTCGAAACCGTTAGTCACATCGATTTCATGTAGCATTTGAAGCTGCTTCCATAGTAAATCTTCAAACATTAATTCTGTTAAAAAGATTGGAGTTTTAAAACAAGCTACATAAGTAGTAAACATATGACCTTGTTTCCATAAGTCTGATTGTTTGTTAATGAAATTTAATATATCTTTCCATAGTTGATTTGTTGCTTTTTTGCAAGCCAACTTTCCATACACACCAATACCATAACTATTTCGCTTAAACGCTATTCGACCATTTATACATGGAAAATTTTTACAAAATATGTAATCTCTGAATTGTTGTTTTATATTGATGCTTGTTTCCACGTCGTTTTCTTCGTCTGGTGTTTCAATTTCATTATATTTTGTCATATCATTGTATACTAAATGATTTTTTAAATAATATTTACATTCTTGTCTTTCATTATTATTATACGAACTAATTTTACCAATACGATATTTTTGATCAAGTAGTTGTTTATTTTGTTTTCCATTTAAATGTATTTCATAAAATAGCCTTGTTACATTTTTCCCAGCAAATTTTTGCAAAATTTCCAAACCACCAGAATGATTTTTCATTAACAATAAACAGTAAATATCATTATCAATAACGATCCATAAATCTTTTTCGTGTTTAGCAACATCTTCTTTGGTATATTCTGGTAGTTGTTCGTTTTTTTGCTTTCGTAAGGTAAAAAGTTTAATTAAAAACTTTACTATAATTAAAACAGTGAATCGAATAATATTCATTTATTGGTATATCGTTGTGAACTGTAAGAGACAGAAACGTAGGGATGATGTATATCTGTGAATATTATCGCTAAGATTCGTCTGCTGCTACAGCTAATTTAAGGTACTTTGAATCAGATGGAATGGATGAACCCAATCCTCTGTGGGTCATACAAGACCAAACATAGATAGCATGGCAAGCGGTGAGAGCAGAAAGAAAAAAAGAACGAAAAAAGGTATTATAAAAGGTGTTTTCGGCTGATTACATAAAACATAAAAATACTCTCTTTTTATCTATTCTTGTTGAATACTATTCACCTTTAAAACATGTAAAGAGAAGAGACCTGGCAAAGATTATGATTCTATAAAAGAAACAGAACTACATCACAGTGTGAGTGTCCAAAATATAAGGTTTTGTACAGCGGAAAATCCTCGATCATTTTAACCTAGAATGAAGTTCTAGAACCATACAGTACACAGAAAACTTAGTTAAATGAATGGCTCCATCATTTTGGGATCAAAAATCTGTATTTTACTCTTTCGGCAAAATAATGTCAGTTTTGTCGTTTAGTATCCTCTTTTAACTAACTTGTGAAGCTTCCTCTATTTCTCCTCCATCTCAGAGATTGAAAAATCGTTTTTTTTCTGAAAGAACAACTCAAGATCAAGATATGTGCCGTACATTTATTCTTGTATACATTTGTTGATTTTGAAAAAAGAATTTACTAACTGTTTGAAGGAAGTTTACAAGTTGTTTCGTAACATTCCCATGCTCTTTATTGGAAGTTTTTTAATTATGAAAACTCTTGCGTTTAAACTCTTCTTCTTATATTCGGGTAGGTCATAGTCTTTTAAGTAGAAAAAGACCATACTGTTAAGTAGAATAATCATCTGCTCATATTATTCTTGATCATATGGCAGAATTGCGATTTACATGTACCCATTCGGTATAATTAATGGGTCAGCTAATTGCACCTGTTTTAGTTATCAAAATTTAACAGATTTTTTTGTTTTACTTATAAAACTTCTGTCTAGTTGTGCTGCTAAAATGGCTTCTTTACCACTATCAGATTCTGAGATACTTGGAAAATAAATCCAAAGTTTAATGATTTTCGGATTGGTCGTGATGTAGAGTCTCTTGGAAAACGCTTCCTCTGTTTTTTCGCTAAAATCTTTTTCTAACTTTCTTTTAACGATCGAATAGAGGATAGTTTGGCTATAAATCTACAGTATCTTCAGCCTCAAAAAGTTTTTTTGTTTTGATTCATCAGGCCTAAAAATGAATGGTTACGAAAATAGGAAAAATATCCCGTCACGTTTCTCGAGCATTTTTTACCCTGAAGACCTCATTCAAACTAAACTTGAAAAAAGCCAAAAGATAGCTCAAAAGGTACAAAATCTGTGATTAGAAGAAAAAAATACAAAACCCATTTTAATGACAAAATGGAACATTTTTCAGTTTTGACCTTCAGTTGCGAGTGGTAATATAAAAACACCATTTTCAATCTCCCTGAGAGGTTCACCTCCGGTTCGAACACTCAGTTTTCTTTCGTTGTAATATTAGTTATTCGAAAAAAACTCCACTGAAACGGTGCATAATTCTCACAGAAACAAGGTAGCGTTCAAAAACCGTTTTTAAATAAATAAGTTGTTTTTATGAAATTCTAAGGTACCATTCGTAATCAATAGAATCAGTTCTATTTATTCAGTTCATTTCGAGCAGTTTTTTGTTGACAAAAGTGTCAACAAACTCTAAAGGAACTTGAGGAAAACAAATTATTTTGTCCAAATTTCGAAAACTAAAGCTACCAAAATATTTAGATCAACATTCTATGAACATTTGGACAAAGAAAAGTTGTTAGTATTGGGAGGGGAGAGGGGTATTAGAATACTCATCTATCATCCATTCTCTTTTTTTCTGAAGAATCTTTTATATTTTCCTTTTTCTTGCATCTTTTTCAATATTTAAATTATTGTCGGTGCTTGTGATAGTCTGAACTAAATTTTATTTATCTGTTTTTGTAATCTCATAGCTACTTTCGGGGTCATTCAAGTTGGATTTATCAAGAATGCTTGTAGTATAGTGACAACTGACAATTATAATGATTATGAGTAAAGTTGTAAGTTGTCGATCTGTACTGTTCTCAAGTATCCATTTCACTCTTGAAGTTTGTACGCCTACTTTCTCAATACCAAGAATACTACTTTTTCATATTAACTTTCAAACGCATTTTTGCCACGTACATTTAGATATTTCCAATAGAAATTATTTGGTTGCTACAAAAATGTCTGTGAAAAACGTTGATTTTAGTAGTGAAATAAAATGTATTTATCAAGAATTTGCACAAAAAACAATTCAATGTTCCCAAAAATCGGCTGTTATATTCGATAAACAATCATTATCATATAATGAAGTACTTCACTATGTACAACAATTATCCAGTTATTTGATTAATCAATGTAGTGTTAAACAAAATCAAATTATCTATATTTTTATGGAACGTTCAATTGAAATGATGATTTCAGTATTAGCTATGTCGGCTTGTGGCTTATTCTATACAATGTTAGATTCAAATAATTCATATCTACAGCCTACCGATTTAATTAAAGATAGAACAAAATCTCATATTGTACTCATGCATTTGCCAACAAAAAATACATTTAGTAATGCAATTAATGATAATATTCGTCTGATTAACGTTGACGAAATTCTTACTAATAAACATAATTCAAAAATAATTTTTGA